CAACTAAATAAACTTCAGCATTTTGGTTGAATGACTTACTTGGTAGAAACAACAAACCACCAAATCAATTTAAATATAAGACTGGGAGAAGTGTGAAAGAAGAAAAGGTTAGAAGAATAATTTTATATCTCATAAAGATGTTAGCATTACAAAATTTTTACCAAGATACACTTCATATTTTAAAGGCAATGATGTAGGAAGTATACAGATAGACAAAAGTCAAGGTTGAATTAGTCAAGTTAGGCTGTGATAACAAATTAATTCCCAAATCTCAGGGTTTGATGCAGTGGAAATTTTTTCTAACTTATACAAAGTCCAATGCCTATTGGCAGACTCTTCTCCTCCCAGAGACTCAGAAATCCAGGTTCTTGCCACTTCAGGATTCTGCTCTCTTCACAAGTGGCTTTTCACGTTGTTAGATGAGAGAAAGATGAGAAGGCTATGAGAGTTATGTTTTTGTTTTTGTTTTTTTTGACATGGAGTTTCACTCATGTCACCCAAGCTGCAGTGCAATGGTGCCATCTTGACTCACTGCAACCTCTGCCTCCTGAGTTCAAGTGATTCTCCTGCCTCAGTCTTTCAAGTAGCTGGGATTACAGCATGTGCCACCATGCCCAGCTAATTTTTTGTACTTTTAGTAGAAATGAGGTTTCACCAAATTAGCCAGGCTGGTCTTGAACTCCTGACCTCAGGCAATCCGCCCACCTTGGCCTTCCAAAATTCTGAGATTACAGGCGTGAGCCACCATGCCTGGTCTATGGTTACTTTTACGGGTCAACTTGACTGGTCTAAACAATGACTACATAGCTGGTAAAACATTATTTCCAGGTGTATCTGTGAGAGTATTTCCAGAAGAGATTAACGTTTGAATTGGTGAACTGAGTAAAGCTGATGGTCCTCCCCAGTGTGTGTGTGGGCATTTTCCAATCTACTGTTGAATAAAACAAAAAGGCAGAGGAAAGGTGAATTTGCTCTTTCTCTATTTGAGCTGGGATAGCCATCTTCTCATGCCTCAGGACATTCTGGTTCTTGGGCATTCAGAGCAGTACTTACACCAGCCCAGCACCACCCACCCCCACCCTCCTCAGGCCTATGGACTCAGATTAAAACTTACATCATTATCTCTTGGATATATACATACCTACTATTAGTTCTATCTCTCTGGAGAACCCTGACTACTACAAAAGCACTCTGGCTTGTAAGTACCTTTGTCTGACTGTGACAAATGTTATTTCTGTTCACAGTCATATTGCCCCAACTCAACTCTGGGGGAGTCTGGAAATGGAGAGAGGCATATGAATATTTAACAAACTTTAAATGACTTAGCAACCAACACTGAAGGAAAGGACAGATAATGGGTGAATAAAGGAAAGCACAAATAAGTGATTGAGAAATGTAATGGCAGGAAAGCACTAATGACCCCCAAAATTCAGCCTCACTCTCATGGCATTAGTGGATGATCTAGGGTTGATTTTAATCTTCACTTATAAAGCGTGCTTTTCTTTTATCTTATTTACTAATTACAAAGTAATGCACGAGGACACTTAGGGGAAAAAAGAATAAAAAGTAAAATAAAAAATTATGTATATAATTCCATTCCCTGATCAATTATAACCTGTTTTTTTCACTTTTTAAATTTTATGCATTAGAACTACATATTTTGATGTCCCTTTCTGATGAAGTCTGTGTAAAAACTCTTTTAACTATTACTTCCTCAGAAGTCCTCAAGGAATCCAGACTAGTAGGAGGCTGGGATGTATGAAGGTGTATGTCTGTAAAGACTGAGTGATACACAACATTACTGGCATGTGTTAGGGCAAGATGGGGCCACTGAATGCAGTTAATAACTTATAGCATAGAAATAGAGGGCCATCTGCTAATGCACAGGATAAGGGTGGAAACTACAGGCATTTTAGAGAAACACAGGATAAGAAAAAAAGTGAGCTGGGAAGACTCAGTCCAAGACTGAGATAGAGCTCAGCAGAAATAACTAGACCATTCTAAATTCTAACAGTGAGAGACCTGTGGGTAAATTTCAGAAGGCCATAAGGCCTTCTATACATTTCAGAAGCGTTGCCATGAAGTCTCACAGAGAAAAGCTTTGCTCTGAAGCCAAATGGACTGACATGTTGACCAGATAGTATATGCCCATCTTTTCCCAGGAAATGAAAAATAGCCATGGATGAAAGATTAAAATTTTAGCAAGAATAAAGACATGATAGTGAATACAAAGGACTGGGCTTTGCAATGGGGGAAAGACAAAAATTGGGAGAGACAAAAGGGGAGAATGAGGAAGGGACTGTTTAATGTTTGCTGAGTGGAACCAAATGCTTTAAACCTGTGCCAAGCTAATTGAATAATGTGAAGCTTTGTCCTTATAACTCATGTGATCTCTATGTCACCTGTGCTTTGAGATTCCCTCTCATTGTCATATAAATGGTTCATACACATGAACTGATTATGTCTTCTGGTTCAGTGGCTGCAGTGTGGAAAGGACATGGCTGGAGGAAAGAATGAGGGAGAGGCCGGAACTTCTGGGAGCACCCTATTTAAAGGAAACAATCTTGATATTCCCCAGGAGAGGCACAAAAAAAAAGTAGCAAAACATGGAGAGACGGCAGTGCTTTCTGCCTTAGGAACTGTTTCTGCAGTCTTCCTCTCACCATGCCCTTCTTGTTGAGGCTCACCCTGTTCTGAGGAAATGGTCTGATCCTGCTTTGGAAACAGACTTGGCTCCTCTAAGCCTGCTGGAATGAGTTATGGGCAGGACCTACATTATTCCAAAGCAACAGAGAGAAAGGCTATGCTAGTCCCAGCTATCACCGTGAAACTTTGGACAGTCTCCAAACACTTGGTACATCTCTACAGCTATCAAAAGAAAACAGCCAATTGGAATATCCTTCCTAAGGAATGGCAATTTTTATAAAAAAAATTTGGGCAAGATGAAAAATTAGATAAATATATTGTCAGTTCAGACTTAAGGCAGTTGAAGATCCCATAAAAAGGAGAAATGGGAGTGAGTGGGGGAACTATTGCCTATGAAAACCAACAAGTAACTAAAGGGAAAAAGTTGAGGCATAATCAGAAACTCCAATATTTAGAAATTAAATATAATCACATGTTGCATAACAACATTTTGGTCAACAACAGACTGCATATAGGATGGTGGTCCTATAAGATTACAATGGAGCTGAATATTTTCTATCACCTACTGAGGTTGTAGCTGCCATAACATCATAGCACAATTGATATGGTTTGAATTTGTGTCCCCACCCAAATCTCATTTGGAATTGTAATCTCCAATGTTGGAGGAGGGGCCTGGTGGGGCCTGGTGGGAAGTGTTTGGATCATGGGAACAGACCTCCCCCTTGCTATTCTCGTGATAGTGAGTGAGTTCTCATGAGATCTGATTGTTTAAAAGTGTGTAGCACTTCCCCATTCTCTCTTCTGCTCCAGCCATGTGAAGATGTGTCTGCTTCCCCTTCACCTTCCACCATGATTGAAATTTCCCTGAGGCCTCCTCAGCGATGCTACCTATACAGCCTGTGAAACCATGAGACAATTAAACCTATTTTCTTTATAAATTGCCCAGTCTCAGGTATTTATAGCAGTGCAAGAATGGACCAATACAACAATACATTACCTTTTCTATGTTTAGATGCACAAATACCATGTGTTCCAATTGCCTGAAGTAGTCAGTACGAATACATTCTGTACAAGTTTGTAGCCTGGGGCAATAGACTATACTATATAGCCTAGATGTATAGTAGGCTATTCCACCTAGGTTTATGTATGTACACTATGATGTTTGCACAATGACAAAATCACCTAGCAATGCATTTTTCGGAATGTACTCCTGTCATTAAGCAATGCAAGATGGTACTCTAAATTCACACCATAACACTGTAAAGAAGCATTCCCTATAAAGTTAAGACAATTCTAATAATATTAGTAATAGAGAGCTGGCATTAAATCTGTAGCATATCAAGTACAATCATTGAGAAAACTGAGGAAAAAAAAGATGTAATCTCAAAGTCACATCATTATTGAAAATGTGACCCAACACGTGAAAAAACATGCAAATATCCCATCAATATCCTGTTGTGGGACCTCTGCCAGCCCCCAAGTGAAAACAAATAATCCCTCTCCCATCTAATAGACACAAGTAGAACCCGCTAAACACAAATAAAATTACAACCACCAAAAAAGAATATCGCCACAAAACAAAACAACAAACTTCTTTGGCCCTAAAAGTTTATTTTATAAAAAGTGGTGTTATGGGTAGACATATGCCAAAACTTGTGACAAGGAGAGGATTTGCCTCTCCAGACTCTGAATCTATCTGAATCTTAGCACTTTTGGCCACTCCAATTTATAAACATAGATTTGCTGTCTAGTCTCTACTCCCCCAGGGACACAGCCCTAGATAGAGCCTACGGTGGAGCTAAAACACGAGGGTGAGACCTCCTCATTCCTCCTCCTACTGTGTCTTCACTCTGTGACAGTCACTTGACACTCATTAGCCTAGTTACTTTTGCAGCAGCCTTGTAAGCTACGTGATCTACCTTACAGATGAAGTAACTGAGGCTCAGAAACGTTGAGTAGCTCTCAAATTCATATAGCTTGTGAATGCTTGAGCTGACACTTGAGCCAAAATCATGTTCTTTTCACAATGTGACTCTCCAGGTCTTGCTTTGGCTCAGAGCTACATAGTCCAGGACACATCCAGGATTCAACTCAGCTGTTCACATCCCCAGGTCACCCACATGAGAGATCTTAAGGCCCATCTGTGAGAATCATTTCACTACATCCTAGTGGCTTCTTTCTCCTGATAAGAACAAGGGAAGGTGTCACTGGTCGTGGATCTCCAAGCGTAGTGATAGATATCTTTAAATAAGTGACTTTGTTTATTTGAAAACCACACTGACTTCATGATGCAGTTGATTCAGAGCCTTGGGCTGCCATTTCAATAGCCCAGCTCTCATCACATCAGCACTGACCACCATCCAGTGCCTCTCCTATGGGCCTCTTTGCCTTTTTAGCACTGTCCCTGTCCCCAAGCAGCACCACCCTGGCAGCAGGGCAAGGGTATAGGAGAGAGAACACCTGAGAAAACAGAGGCCAAGTTTGCTGCAAGAGAGCCTCCTTATTTCTTACTGACTTCAAAGAGACAATACATGCACTGGTTAAATTCTCAGGAATTAGAGTTTCTTGCCTGTTCTAACCACCTCCTATTCACATTTTTTTGTGAAAGAGGGACCCTAAATAGAATGAAGTGGTCTAACGCACGACACCCAACACTAGACAGATGAAATCAACAGCTGTTTATTAGTCACATATACTCCCTGCCTGGGGGAGGTGAACACTGCATAGAACACGGGACCACACAAGGGTTGCACGTGGGAGCAGAGTGAACCAGAAGGGGCTGTAGGAGGCAGGCTTTGCAGTAACGAGAGGGTGAGATGCATCTTGGTTCCTGTGGAAGGATAAGATTGGCTTGTTTGAGTAATTTCACATGTGGCAAGGAAGTAAAACACATTAGGTTGAGGACCAAGTGGGGTAAAGCTAGTGCAGCTAATAGAGGAACTAGCCAGGTGGGAAGCCTCTCCTGCTGGATCATGTGGGGAATGGGGGCGGGCAGGGAGACAGGCATATGTGGTGAGAACAGGGGAATTTCATGGTTATGGCTTTGGGGCCCAGTAAGGATCAAAGATGTTCAGGCAGCACTTGAAATTTCAAGGCTTACAATAAACTGCCCAAGGTTGAAAGTCTCTGCTCCTCTATGTTCTGGCTGTATGACCTTGGCCAAGTTACCTCCAAGCTTGCTCTCCCATGAAAAATGCTGTATAGTATTCACTTCATGGAGCCACTATGAGAATAAGTATAAAGTGCCTTATGTGCCTGGCACCTAAGTGCTGAGTAGATGTTAGTTATTGTCATCTTCGTTGTCATCATCGTCATCATCACTGGAGATAGTAACTGTAGTGGATAATTTTCTCCAGTTTCGTTCTCGGTTGAGCAGGTATTTGAGCAAGATCTTGCTTTTAGGTATTGGGTCACGTAGTGGCCTCATCAATCACATGGAAAATGCAAACATTACTGTGTTCACATCAACTACCTTGACTTTACTTGGTAGCAAATACTTTCTAGCATCACGAAACAGATGTGGAAGAGGTCAGTAAATGGCTTAAAAGGTGAGGGGGAGAAACAGTTCTGGCCAAGGCCTTCCTCTTTGGCTGAAGATTTAGCCTACTTATATGTTATTTCCTTTTTCTGTCTAAAAAAAAAAATCTTTGTTTTGATCAGAAATGGAAACAAAGGGATTAAAGGAATCAGAAGAGTGATTTGTAATTGGTCTCCAGACTGCACTTCTGTTTCCATTTGTGAAGAGCAAGCTAGTGAGTAAAACTTCATGGAAGGACTTTAATAGCAGTAGCTTTTCTCTTGCAGCCTGAGATTAGAAAAATACTTTAGCCTTGATACATTCATTTTGTGATCACAATGCCCTTCACCTATCTGTCTATTTTCCTCTTTTCATATTGCCCTGATCCTGGTAGAAGCTTTCAAAATTACCAGAGAATGGTTCCCTGTTTCTTGTTTTTCTCTTTCTGTTTATCGCTCCTTTTCTTCTCTCTCTGTCTTTCTCTTTATCTTCCCCCAAATATGCCCACCAATCTTTGCTGAGACATAAAAACAAACCCTCAAGTCTATTAGTGTTACAATATTGTTTACATGTATTCTAGAAGACTGCCAAAGAAAACATAAGCGTTGCCCTCAATGAAAAGTCAATGCATATTTTAACAGTACTAATTTCCAAAATGAAATTTATTGAAGTTAATAGATATCCAGGAAAAGCACCTAAGAGCATGTAGAAAAAAAAAATGTATTTAGCCATCAATTCATCTGCAAAGAACCAAGGAAACTAGGAATCTGTATATGAGGAAAATATGCGTGACACATTGTATCAGTATGGTGATTATGAAAAGGATATATAATCTTGTTTTTAAGAATTTATTTGAAATTGGTGCCTGTAATCCCAGCACTTTGGGAGGCCGAGGCGGGTGGATCACGAGGTCAAGAGATCGAGACCATCCTGGTCAACATGGTGAAACCCCGTCTCTACTAAAAATTACAAAAAATTAGCTGGGCATGGTGGCGCGTGCCTGTAATCCCAGCTACTCAGGAGGCTGAGGCAGGAGAATTGCCTGAACCCAGGGGGCGGAGGTTGCGGTGAGCCGAGATTGCGCCATTGCACTCCAGCCTGGGTAACAAGAGCGAAACTCCGTCTCAAAAAAAAAAAAAAAAAAAAAAAAAAAAAAAAAAAAAAAAGAAATTGGTGTGGGGTGGGTGCCACTGACGTGCATTAGTCTCTGAGGTTCAAGCGTGCAATTCACTTGTATTTGTGTTAATGTGAGATCTTTATTCAGAGTTAAATATTAATTGTAAAACATTTGACTACAGTGTCTTAAAGACACAACCACCTTTCCTGTTTGATAGGTGGGAAACCTATCCATTGGACACCAATTTAGTATAATTACAGAGCTTTACTTTACTTTTTTCTTTATCCAGCAACATTTTTGACTTATTTTAAAGTGTATGTCTCATTAATTATGGCATTTAGTTCTCAACTTGTAATTGATACCTGGTGCTTCTAACTCCTAGCACTCTCAGTGTCGCTGTTTCAAGGGGGCCTGATGAATTTGCTTGAGGTAAAGTAAAATGCAAAGTACCGACTTTCTGAAATAATTTGAGCTATTTCTTGTGGCTCCTGCAATTTAAGATTGTTTCAGCATAGGGGGTGGGAGTGGTGAAAGGTAGGTGGTACATCTGATTATCTTCCAACTGGAGGGACTGAGATAGAGGCTTTTTATTACTGGCAGGGCTGTGTGCCAGAATGTAATCAAATAGGAAACTGGGTGCCAATGGTAATTTTTTGAAATGTGCTTTTATGACATCCTCCACAAAGATGAAAGCAGTGTTCCCTAAAACAAACAAACAGCACCGGACTTGGGCTAAATCTCTGATATGAAATTTATTTATGTTTCACCAACCCCAACTTGAAAGTAATTGTACATGATTTGAAACTTTTAATTGTTCTTGTTGTTTCTCTCTGCAAATACGGAAATCCTGGCTTTCTGTAAAAAACTCTAGATCCTGGCTATTGGTTTCTTTTCAAGGTTCTGCCACACTAATTGCTTTCTGTTTGATTCTGTGCCCTTCTGAAATTGAAGGTTGCCTCAAGGCAGGGATAGTAGCTGTGGTGATGACTTGTGGGCTTGGGGACTGGGGGTAACCCACAGCTGTGGCTGCAAGCCAGTCTCATTATCCCACGGCTCTGCTGGGCCATCCAGGGGGCCCATTTTACTGCTTCAGATCTGTGCCTATGACTAGAAGGGTTAGAATCTCAAGGCTTTTTCTTTGCATTATTTATCATTTCTGACTGATAACAGCACTACTTCCTTCTAGGAACCAAACACTGGTCGCTATGGTTTTGTTTTATTGTGGTACTTGGTATTGTATTTCACGGCTCTTCAACCACAGATATAAAAACTAAGAATAGATTAAATGACATGTATTTCACAGGAAATAGACATTTCACTTCTTTTCAGCAATCATGTGACTTTATTTCTTCTACACCAGCATATCTCTAATATAACCATTCAATCTGGCTATACTGATATGAGGAAAGTTGAAGTGACTTTACTGGTATCTATGAACAGGCATATATGTTCAATGAAGTCAAAGACAATTTCATCAGTTGTGTAACCCAACGGTTTTGTAAATGAGATTTCAAAACCATGAAATCAAAGTATTGTATTAATAAAATGAATTGCTTAGTTATCCACAAAAGTTGACTCTGTGGGCTTTATAGACATCCTTTCTGAATGAAAACTTCACAGAGAGTGATAGTTAACAGACAAGGCTGTGATCCAGACTGCCTTGGTTCAAATCCCAGCTCTATCACTGTTGCTCACCAGTGAGGAACCTCGACTGAGTAACATCTCTGTGCTTCAGTTTCTCATATGTCTCCTCAGGGTTATAATGTTACCTGGGTCATAAGGCTTTAACACATGCCTAGTGCTTAGAACAACAGCAGGCACTTGGTGGTGGTTTAGTAAATGTCAACTGCCATTATTTTCTTAAAATGTGCTATGCACTTCTATTTTGTCCATTAAATATAATGTAGACTTCTCTTGCACACTCTGGGTCATGAATAAGGACTTCAGTGATTGCACACGGGGTCCCTGGAGGGGCTTCGAGAGGATCTGCCTGCCCTCAGGGTGGTGTGGTTGTAGCTTAGAGCCATTAGCCACTCACCCAGTGGGCCAACCAGGGTAGTTTCTTGTTTTTTCCCTCACATCTCTCTGTTTTCTCCCTCTCTGCTTTTTTCTCCCCCAATTAAAACACAACTTCCCACACTACCCTTTCATCATAGTCATCCTGCTCATAACGACCCAAGTCAGTCTTTCCCTCCACCCTCTGCCGTTCAGTGAGCTCCCTGAGACCAGGACCACACACCCATCCTATCCTGTGCTCTTCCCCAGGGCTCGGATGCACAGCGTGCATTCCACTTACAGGCACATGCTACAGTGGCCTACTTCCTGGGTTCAAATTCTCGTTTTACAGTTTGCTAGCCTGCATAAAAATGAGAAGACTACTTAAAATCTCAAGTTTAAAGCTTTAGTGGCTTGATTAATTAAAAAGCTGATAACAGTATTGACTTCTCAGGATTGTTGCAGATATTGAATGACACAAGTCAAGTGGACCAGCTAGTAAGGAAGTGCTCAATAAAAGTTAGCAATGGTTATAATGTAGCTAAACTGTGAAAGCAATCCCTAATCTTCATCTGTGTACCTCTTGTATGCTTTGTTGTAGTGTTGGTGAGAAATGTATGAAACTCTAACATGATCACCAGAGTAGTTTTTGGTGTAACATTGTGGCATTGCAAATAAGACAAAGCAGAGAGTTGAAATAACTATTCTGCTCATTCAAATTAAAACTAAATATCATCTTTTAACTCTTATAACAGAATGTTTCATTTTTTTTTTTCTTTTTTTTTTCTTTTGAGATGGGGTCTTACTCTGTTACCCAGCTGGAGTGTAGTGGCGTGATCTCAGCTCACTGCAACCTCCACCTCCCGGTTTCAAGCAATTCTCCTGCCTCAGCCTCCCTAGTAGCTGGGATTACAGACATGCACCACCACAACCAGCTAATTTTTGTATTTTTAGTAGAAACAGGGTTTCACCATGTTGGTCAGTGATCTGCCCTCCTTGGCCTCCCAAAAGTGCTCAGATTACAGGAGTGAGCCACCACGCCTGGCCTCATGTCTCATTTTCTAAAAGGCACCTGCTATCTCATTTTATCTGTGCATTAAACTTCAGCTGGACCCGAATAACCTGAATGCTTTGTCCACATGGCCCAAATTCATCAGATAATTGCAAATATGGACTTAATGTTTCCAAGCACCATTCTCTCCATAAATTTAAATGAAAGTATTCCTTGTGTTTTCTCTGCATCATAATACAATCTAAGCAAATAGAATTTTTGTCTACAGGCCACCTGGCTCATGGCCACACTACCACACTGGTTAGGGGGCATGGAGTCACAGGTCCCAGGTATAGAGCAAGCCTCAGGGGCCATCAGGTGAGGATGAGGAAGGCTTAAAAGGTTAAGCCACTTGTGTAAGGCCATACAGCTAATAACTAGTGAAGGAACCAGAAGAAGGCCTCCTGTCATCCACTGGTTGCTGAGCTAAGACCTGTGGAAGTACAAGTGCTCAGACTTATCGTAAGTTTTTCTCTAAACTATCTACTTTGATTGTAGGTTTTAATACAAATTGTATTTATCGAAAGAACACTGAATCAGGAGATAGGAAGCCTGGCTTGCTTGACTCTGTCTGTTATAATACTGGGAACTGAAACACCACTTATTCCCTAGTCTTCTTCTAGAAAAAGGGAGAGCATCGTGCTTTGCTATGCCACCTTCACAAGGTTGCTATAGCTATCAAATGAACGAATAAAAGAGAAAGTACCTTAAAGTCCAAGCAGATGCTTGTAAGAGCAGGACTTTGGAGTATTGGTCATGAACCCCAGCTCTGCCACATATCATCTATGTATGCTATGACTTTGGTTAATGCAATTAATAAACGGGAACAAAGCTGATCTTACTATTATTAAATCTGTTTAAAGATTGAATGAAATGTCAGGTATATAAAGTACCTGCCACAAAGTAGACTCTCAAGAAATGGTAGCTATTACTAAATAATTAAAGCAGTGTACAATGCAGTGGATTATCTGTTTTCTATTACAGGGATGTGTGACCGCATCCTGTTCAATGCTGCTCCCTGTATTATTCGATTTCACTTTTATGAATTTTTATATATCTTTAACAGTGAGAACAAAATCAGTCAATAATAGAGACACATGATGCAGTCATGCTGAACTGAACTGAGTACACCTAGAGTATGTTTCAACTTACAAAATGAAATGGCTTTTTAGAAACCTTCACTTTAGAACTTACAATGGAAAATAAAAGGCTGTTTTGGAAATCAATTCTGAACTTATTCAGGTTATTCTCAAAACAATGAACTCTTCCACTGTCTTATCTCCCTATACACTGTATTTATTAGATTTTGAATTATTAAATTCAAAATACAGTGTATAGGGAGATAAGGCCCATATCACAGACCAAGGGAGTCCCTGCACTTCTAAGTGGCCTCAGGCCTGACTGCTCTCTTCATATACAGTGTGTGCATATGTATAAAAGTCACAAAAAGCCACGTGGAGATTACAAAAAAAAAAGCCTCTATGACAAGTGTGCAAGGCTGATTGGGAGAATGGAAACTCCCAATCAGATATTTTCCCATACAGAAGACACGGGCACCCTATGGCTCTTTTGGCTTGCTCCGATTTTATTCCTCCATTTATGAGGAAGAAGAGGGATTGAAAAATCAGGCTGATGCATAGTAATACACATAAATTCAGAAAGTCCTTCATTACAAAGTAAAACCGCAGGGTGGGAGTGATCAAAATAAATTGTATTGTCATAAAGCAATTAGGAGAAAATTAGGCAATCATAAGGTGATAAAAGCCTATTAGTTAAAGGGCCTGAAAAACACAGCAGGTTGTAAAAAATTAAATTCTCACACACAGAAAAAATGCAAATACATGCAATTGTCTCTCCATGGCAAAGAGTCAAATTACTGATGTGTGTGCAGAGTTAAAATAAAAGCCCTGAAAAATGTTAAGTGCAATTTTATTTCTCATCAGTGCTCAGATTTGAGATTCTAAGTTCTTAGCTTTCCTTTCCATCACAATAAGCCTTACGAAACATTTCTGTTATTTGAAAATAAGGAGATGCACCCTTTACAATGAAATGTAATAGTATGTAATGAATTTCACATTGATTTCTACTTTTTAACTCATTGAGACCAGTCCAGAATTATAGTCTTCAGATGGCAAAAGAATTTTATTTCCTTTTATTTTATTTTATTTTATTTTTTTGAGACAAAGTCTTGTTCTGTTGCCCAGGCTGGAGTGTAGTGGTGCCATCTTGGCTCACTGCAACCTTCGCCTCCTGGGTTCGAGTGATTCTCCTGCCTCAGCCTCCTGAGTAGCTGGGATTACAGGTGTGTACCACTACACCTGGCTAATTTTTGTATTTTTAGTAGAGACAGAGTCTCGCCATGATCAGGCTAGTCTCTAACTCATGAACTCATGATCCACCCACCTCAGCCTCCCAAAGTGCTGGGATTACAGGCATGAGCCACCGCACTCAGTCAAAAATTTTATTTTTAATGCCATTATTGGAGATTAAGAGACTGAAACATGGGGACGTTAAAGCCAAGTTTGCCTTTGGCTAATGTATTAGTAGATGGGAGTAGATCTGATTCTAGAGACTAACTCACTTCTGCTTTTTCCCAATCCAGAGCCCTTTCCACTCAGCTATCCTGCTTTTCTTCCATAATGTTAGTGCTTGAAAGAGTTGGGCTATATCAGCTGCTGGGAAACCTTTCAAGTAAAGATACGGATAGGAATCTTTTTGGTTTTGTCGGTTGTAGGGTCTTTCTTGCAGTTACTTGGTTCTGTGGTTATAGTGCAAAAGCAGCCGCAGACAATACACACATGAGTGAGCAGAGCTGTATCCCAACGTTTCCTCACAGAAACAGACTCAGGGCCAATACCAGCCTGCTAGTGGTAGTTTACCAAGACCTGTTCTGTACCTTTTTGGTTTTTTTTTTTCCCAGAAGTAAGAAAGAAGGTTATAAAATAAAGTAAACAAAATTTCCAGGTATCATAAAGGTATTTGTAATGAGAAGATTGACCACTTCCTTAATGCTCAGGAGAAATAACAAATGTGTTGTTCCATTTCACTGTAAAGGGTGTATCTCCTTATTTTCAAATAACAGAATTGTTCTGTAAGGCTTATTGTCATGGAAAGAAAAGCTAAGAACTTAGAATCTCGAATGTGTTGTTTTTCCTGAGCACTATTCTGTGGCTGTCCTCAATGAGCCCAGTTCTCCGTACTACAAATAGAAGAAGCTCCTACCTCAAATTAATCTTACCCTTTTCTTCCCCCATTTCGGTAGATGGTAGCAGTACAGACTGGTGCCAGTACACAATGACCCTGCAGTTATCCCAGAGCAGTCCTCTCTCTCTTTTTCCAAAATGGCTGACCTGAGTTTAAAGTCGGGATCTAGCTATTTTTCTACAGCTGGAAAACCTTCAAATAATCTCTTTTTGGCACTAATTAGGAATGCCACATGTATCATATATGAAATTTCTCTAGGTATGTAAGTCTGTTTCTAGATTTGCACTTCTGTTTCATGAATGTACATGTCGATTTCTCTATGAATACATCTTTACTATATTGTATCTCTCTATCAGGAATATCTCTCTTTAGGCTTTCTTTGGACTTTTTAACAAAAAATCTACAGTTTTCTTTGTATGTCTCGTACATTTTTATAATAGCTTTTACATAGCTGCATTGCACTGATTTCTAAAAGTACAAACAGTAATACATGTAGCTGAAGTTTGTGCACTGAAAGTAAAGACCGAACTGTAAGCAATTGCCAACCAAGAGCCTGAGAGTGTGGTATAGTTTCTATATCCTTTCTGGCATTAGAAGTGACTGACCAGTGTGCACCAAACAAACAAACCAAAAAAGAAATACAGACTGGACAAGACCAGAACGAAGAAAAGCCAGACAAAACACCTGGACCCAGTCCCGGAGAGTGTTGGTGAAATGTCTTATCAGCACCCTCTGGAGGAGGTACCAGAAGCTCTCCCTGGGAACAAGGATTCCAGGAAGAGCTGGGCAGGCAGCACCCTCCTGTGAGGTTGCACAAGCTTTGGGGTTTCAGTTGGATGAAACTGATCGTTCCAAGTTTTTCTTCTTCCAGATCTCCACTCTTCCCGTTCTAACTGGCCTCCACGCTCATCATGCACTTGAATTTGTTTAGCCCAGTGTACCCTTATTTTAGTTACTTGCTTCTCATCCTTACATTCACTTCTGAGTCTGTGTTTATTTGGACTGGCACAGTGTTCATTTGCTACATGGTTCTAGTC